TTCTGAGTTTGAAGTTAAGAAGACCTGTGTTCAAGTCCTGCCTGACATGTACTGGCTGTATAATCAGCTGTATGTACAGTAGAAAAAGCAATGATTCTGGCTTCAGAGGACTCAGATTTGAAACCTCCCTCTGCCACTTATTATCTGTGTAAGCTTGAGCAAGTCAATTAATCTCTTTATGCCTCAGTTTCCTCAACTGAAAAATGAGGGGATTTGGAGGTGGCCTAGATGGCCTTTTGGTGTTTTCCAGGTTTGGATTTATGATTCTACAAATTCACTTAGTTTCTGGACACCCCCAGGTTACTCTACAACTTATAATTCCTGATCTGCATAGAGGGAGGGAGGTTTCCACAGAGAATTCTCCACAGCAATAAAATCAGGTCCAGACCAAATGCCTCCTGCCTGTACTATCCTTTCAATTTTTTTTTCAAGTGATCAGAGTTAAGTGATTTATCCAGGGTCACAAAGCTAGTAAGTTTCAGAGGTTGGATTTGAATTCAGGTCCTCCTAACTACTCCAGGGCAAGTGTTCTATCCACTGCACCACCTAGCTGTCCTATCCTTTCAATCTTAGTTGATGCCAAAATGAGGCCCAAATCATTTGTGTCTGATGTGTTGCATTGACCTTCTTATGGATTTCGTCTAGCCCTCTGGCCTTCATGTACCAATCCTTCTGGCTTGTCACTACAAATTAATTTTCCTAAAATGCCACTCTCTAAAGCAAAAACAAAACCCTCAAGAGCTCCACAATGCGTCAAATTCCAAACTTTTTATCAGAGACCCTTCAAGATTTTCTACAATCCTGCCTCAACCCCTCCACTACCAACTTTGTCTCCCATCATTTCCCAGGGCTTCTTAACAATGACTTCCTCCCATCAGGAATGCCCTCTCCCCTCTTCACTACTTAGACCAGGGGTTCTTAACCTGAGGTCCACAAACTTGTGTTTTGAATATTTTGTTAAGTGAATTTCAACATAGTTTCCTTTGTAATCTTTTGTGTTATTTTATTCATTTAAAAACATTATTCTGAGGGGTCCATAAGCTATATCAGACTGCCAAAGGGGTTCATGGAATGATGTGAAAATAGATTAAGAACTTCTAGTCTAGACAAATAGTCTTAATCTGTTCAGGACCAGTTTAAATCTCATTTTCACTTCCAAGTACCTTAGGTTTAGATTGTTCCTTTTCTCAGACAAGTAAACAGTACAGAGTGGTAGTTCTCAAACTTTATCTCAGGACCCTTTTACACTCTTCTAAATTAATGAAGACCCTGCCCCCTCAAGAGCTTCTTTTTGGGGGGATGGTTATAGATATACTATGTATGTATAATTATACATTTTTACATATTTAATATTATTACACATATTTCTATATATGAAAATTTACCATATTAGAAATTTAAACAACTTATTACAAAAAAAAATTTACCTCACAGACCACCTGAAGAGATCTTAGGGATCCCTAGGGGTCCCCAGACCACTTTGAAACTACAGGATATAGGGCAGGAGTTCTATAAGAATTCAATTATATGCTGCTTTTGTACCCCGTAAATGGGGAGTTGACATGTATTGGTGGAAAGAAGGCTGGATTGTTGAAAGCATTAACTCATCTTATGTTTCATTTTATCCCCCTCATTTAAGAGTGCCTTGTACAGATGGCTCCCCAAAAGGTTACTGTTTGAATATGAAGTCCAACACCACAATAAAGAGTGTAGAAGAGATGGCAATGGAGTCAAAGGACTCAGGTTCAAATCTCAATTCTGCTATTTAAATACCTACTTAACTTTGGGCAAATCACTTTTGTTCTCTGGAGTTCTATTTAATTTATAAAATCGATATCTTGGCATAGATAACTTCTAGGGTCCTTTCTACCTATAAAGCTACGAACCTAGGCTATTGAAATGATGCTGTGATATGAGAAGAATGGGGCTTGAGGGAGTGATATACGTATACCCCCCCACACACACACACACATACACACACATATACATCCCTCGTAGACTCAAAGAGTATTAGAACTGAGAGGGATCATTTAACATTTTTACAGATGGGGAAAACTAAAGCCAAGAACAAGAAACTAACTTGCCTAAGGCCATAAAGGCCATCAGCATGGTATAGTGGAAAGGGCACTGGTTTTAAGTTAGAGATCTGGGTTCAAATTCTGACTCTAACACTTATGACTTTTGTGACTAAGCTTAGGAATCTGAGACCTAAGTTCAGTCCTGCCTCAGACACTATTAGAGTGATCCTGGGAAAGGCGAAACCTCTATTTCTTCACCTGTAAAACGAGGATAATAATAGCATTTACCTCACAGGGTTGTAGTGAGGATCACATGACATTACTTATGTGCTTTGTAAACCTGGGCATTGTGGCCTCGTGAGAAATATTTAACAAAATACATATGACCAAAAAGGTGAATTCTTGCAAGGTTGTATATCCCCAAGATCTCAGTTTTAGCCCAGCCCCCTGCCTATCCTTCCTCTTTCTCTCCCTTACCCTTTTACCCTTGGCTGGAGAAGTCCCTCCCCAACCTAAGGCTATTTTCTATTTGCCTCCTCTCCCAATATTGAAGTCTTTGGACCCAGCAGTACTTGGTTTAAGACACAGAGGCAAGTCATCACCAAAGGGATGATGTGTTAGAAAGGAATGCTGGGAATGCAGACAAAACCTTAACAAAAGGAAGCAGCAACAGCATCAATGGCACTGAATTTTTTTTAAGCCATCATCTCTGTAGCCAATTCAAAGACTGGTCAGTGTTTGCTTATGTCAACCACAGGACCACAAGGCTCAGACACAAAGTCCATATCCCCTAATTCCTTGTAAGAGCCAGTAATGAAATTAACCACCGACTCCAACTCTGTCATTGAAAGAGCTACCAGACCCTTCATTCAGTCTGTAGCTCTCCTTCCTTTGAAACCATGACAGTCTTTATGGCGGCACCAGTCAAATGGCTGCCTCGGGTAACATTTTCTCTGGGAACTAAATATATCACAGAGCTAGCCAACTCCTTGCCACACCAAAGGAACCACAGGGTGTCCCCACAAAGTGGGCCCCTGGTTTACTCTAGCACCTTTCTTTGTTTTTCTAACATTTTTCCCCAAAAACCTATGAGGAGAGCACACCATGCTTTTTCAGCTACATGATTTTAATGGGTAAATGAATTCTTTCATTAGAGAGCTTGCAAAAAAAGAGAAAGAGAGAGAGATGAGCAATATTATTGACATCTCACTGAAACATAAATATATAAATTACACTTTTACACATTAAAAAAAAAACTTTAGACATATACATTCATGGGCATAGCATTGTGAATGGTACCCAGCTGAGAGTAAGCACAGGTGGCCTACAGAATTCAGGTTTCCACTCTCTGGGGAGAGAACATACCCCTCCAGGCATCTGTCTGGCATCTGGGTAAGGCTGAATTCTGACTTCATGCTGCCATTAACAGCCTGTTTCCCAAACTGCTTTTCTGTGGCTTGAAATGTGATCGTGCCAGAGATGGCAAGAACAGGTTCAATCTTTTCCCCAAAATTTGAAAGGCTACAAATGTTGGTTCCCCTCAGCCTCTCCCCACCCACCCCCCCTTCCCCATCCCACCCCAATGTCTTAGTGTTTACATCTCAAAGCTTCAGTTCATTCACATTCAGAGGCATTCCATTCAGGCTGAAAGCCTTATCATAAAGACATGCTACTTTATAAGTTCCTCTTTAAAAAACAAAAACAAAAACAGAAACCCTTTACTTCACTAACACATACAACAGAGAGAAAGGTTCCATCTCTTAGGAGACATTTCATGTGAAATGTGATAAACAAAATTAAAAGGAAAATGGCCACATGACCTAACCTACTTGGAGGTTTGAGGGAAGAAGAAATGAGGCAGCGTAATGAGCCACCAGGGTACTCAGAATAGTTAACTATCTATGTCTACCCAAGGCCATAAACTGAAGAAAAGTAGAAAATAAAATCAGACTCTTTTGCCTATACCGTCCAAGCAAGCCTGACTCAAACGTGGGTTTTTTTTTCCTTTTAAGTTAAATTCAGTCAAACAACCCCTCTGACTGAAGTTTTCACTTCCCTCCCAAAGGCTTTTGGCATCAGATGGACAAGAGCCTCAGTCAACTAACCAAATGTTTGGTCTGTGTGACAATAAATGAACAGTTGGGCCAATTTCTTTCATCAAATTGAACTGACCAATGATTCTGGAATTTTAAATATGACCACATCCTCTTTAATTTTCAAAGCAGTGGGTGGGGCCTGAAGCCAATTGGGTTCAGCTGAGCCCTCCAGAGAGGGCTCCAATGGAATCCCGGTGCGCCACTGGTAAATGAAAGAAGTATATGCATCTTAACCAGCCTTCTACTGCAAGGCAAGCTAGGTTTGAAACAGAATTTGAAGTTGATTGGGCTCTTCTACTAGAAAAATATGACCATAAAATATTGGGGTTTGTTGGGTTTTTTTTTTTGGATTCCTTTGGAGGTGGAGTTTTTTTGTTTTGTTGTGATGAGGGTTGGGGTCTTGGGGGAAGGGAGGGAAAAGGGGATGGTTTCAAGAAAACATAGGATTTCTCAGGTATATAAAACTGTTAATTTTAGATAAAAATACAAACTTCACCTTTACAAAAAACACATTTTCTGTTGAATACACGCAAAGCATAACATCTTACCAAAAATAAAGAATTTTAAAGTTCTGTCCAAATATTGGCAGCAGGTCCACTTCTCTGCTGTGACAACATTATACAATACAGATACAAGAAGAAGTTGTACATTTTCACCCAGCCAAACATGTCAAAAATTAACTTTCTATCTCATATATTGTAAAAAGAATGGCAAATTGCTAACACAGATATCACTGAATAGTCACCAACTGACAAAAGCCTGGAAGGGAGGATTTGGCATGGATGTTTCTATGATTGGTTTACGCACATTGTTTTACTCAAATGGCTTAAATTAAAAAGGGAGGGGAAGGAAGGAGAAAAATATAAACCCAGAAACATTTAGAAAATTATGCATAGGTAGGTATACCATGTTTATTTTAATACATCTCATTAGTTTGCATCCTGCTAGGAGAAATACCATCATACTGCCTGCCTTACTGTTACTTACAGCAGCCTTTTTCATGTGTTATTGGTAAATGGAGTCCAAGAGATTTAAAAAAAAAAAGCTAGGCAAAGAATAAAAAGAAAAGCTTAATAATCACTTTATGGTGTAAAAAAAATCCACTTAAGGCTCTCAAAAAGGTCTTTGTATAGACTTAAAACACTACGGAGCGAGGATGTATTGTGTCTATAGTGTTCGCGTGGCATTGGATACATTCCTGGTTGTTGTTGTTGTTTTCGTTTTGTGTGTGTGCCTGTAGTCCATCAGTGTCCATCCATCTTCATCAAGAACACAGGCCTATTTCTTGACAAAAAGCACCTTTGACCACTCTTGACAGAAATCCATTGTTCATTTAGATTTTTGTCACATTTTTGTAGGACTTTTTCGTCTCATCCATTCAGTCAACCTTTTATCTTTTTTTTGTATGGGTTTTTGTATAGTTTTTTTCTTTTTTCTTTCTTTTTTTTTTTTTTGGACAAGGAAGCTTCTTATTGTTTCACCGAGTGCTACAATACTTGCTTTGATGTCACATTAAACAAATGTACATTGTCTCTTTGTTCTCATCAAGTGTTCTTTCAGACAGTTTTTCACAGAGGAGAACGAGTAGAGTATACTGTCAATGAAGCACCATACATAGAAGGTTCAGGAATGTAACAAACCATGTACATCCGTGTCCCAGAGAAGGTTTTCTAGCTTATTTTCACCTCACATCTGTTGGGGGAAGAAAAGGATACAATAACTTTGGGATCAAAAAAATAATTACTGTTATCTTTTTATTTCTTTATCACCAACCAAAAGATATTCTAAATGGAACAATTAGCCCAATTAAAATAGCACAGAAAGTTGGTTAATAGGATTTAGTGGCTTCTGAGACCTGTACAAGTTGAAGTCCAAATTATCTCCTAAGTAGTAAAAAAAAAAAAAATTCTAGAGTCAGAATAAGGAGATCCGGAATATTCACATCCCAAATCTATCTCTATATGAACTTTAGCCATGGCAGCCATTTTACTTGGTCCAACTGTCTTTTTTGGTTGTGACATTGGTGTGATCTCCAAAGTCCCTTGAAGTTTTAAGATACTATAATACAGGAATTATGAAGACACTACCCTGCTTCACAGGTTTCAAAAGATCCTTGATTTGATAGGTTTCTCATCCTCTCCTCAACTCCATGTTTTAGAAGTAGAGAAGGAGAAATCTGAGATCCTCATAGAAAGTCATGTCTAGTTGTCTTCAATGAGACAATCATTGTCAAAGAGGGCTGGTGAATCATCTGCCATGGGGTGGGGGAAGGAGGATGCAAAATATTTAAAGCTCCTTTCTTACTCTAGGATTCTATGATTTAGGGTATTAAATCCATGAGTCCTTCTTCTAAAGTAGGCCAAAGTGGATGTAGAGATCCTCCCAGGTCTAGGATGAGATTTTTCCAGACATTCAACTTTTATATAGCCCAGTCCTTTGAAACAGAAACCATTTTCAACCTTACAATCCATTTCATGCATTGTTACAGGATGCTTTGACCCTCCAAATCAGTAAAAACAAAAAACAAAAGCCAGAAGAATGATACTTCAGATCACAGAAGCTCAAGTATTAATTAGGGCCTTTACAAAGGCAAGAAAGGCAAAGAGTCAAGGGATGGAAGAGGCCATTGGTTCCGGATAGCTTAAAGGGAAAACACCAGCAGGGTAGAATGATTAGAGCCAATCATATCTAATCTCTGCAGCTTTCAGGTAGCAAGTGTCAAGATTGGAAGAGTGATTCAGTTGGTGTGATAAAGAGTTTGATTGAGTTGTCCATTGTTTGTGGGATAACAGCGTATCCAGTTTATAGGTCCTACCTGATTACCAAATAGCTCCAGTGGGCCTTAGGTTGGTTTTAACTTTTTTCTTTTCCGTTTTTTACCTGTTTCCCTAGGCCTTCCTGTTAACATAAGGGCAAGGAGGGTGAAAAGCCCTAAGGGAATGCTGTTTGCTTAAAAACTGAAGTAATAAATACTTGAGATGTTTATCATTCTGAAAGAAAACTTCATAATCTTTTGCATTAAGGTACTTCCTTGTACTCTATTTTTTTTTAAACCGACCTTAGGAGTATATTATAAAACCATGCTGCTTTATCAACAAAGACTCACAACAAAAACCTAGGTTTCAACTGACTGAAGTTGGGAGCCTGAAGTTGAAAAAATATTCCCCTTCATCTCTACCATCCTGAAAAGCTAACTTTCATTAAAAGAAAAGGGGAAAACAAAAAACCAAACGAACAAAAAAACCACCTTTCCATCTCAAACCTTTGTTCTAATCAGGTTTCAGCCATATCTTTAGCTGTACCCCTGGATAAGACCTCACCACCCACTCCCATTCTACTCTCACACCCTTACCTCTCCACCATAAATAATCTTCAATTCCAATTTCTTCATGAGTTAATCTTTATGTTAAAGTCCAGATGACATATATGCTCAAAAGTATATGCCACACTTAATTCCAGCATTCACCAAGTATCCTAACAATTTTGCTGCTTACACCAACATACACCCCAACCCCTACCCCCAGAAAACAAAGATGTACAAGGCACCCACATCAAAAAGGTGGCCACTTACCAGTTTCTTCTTCTCGATAATCTGAATTAGAATTTGATGACATACAGGTGCACTCCAAATGCTCTTCTAACCTCACTAGAACTTCTTTTAATTTTGGTTTTTTCCTAACATATTCCACTTTTGCCACCTGCAAAATAAAAAAGTAAATACCAGTGAGACCCATATTGGTGCTTTAGTCATTAGCAGTCACATACTGAAAAAGAATGAACTCTAACAGTTTTTCAATAAGAGTGCAGAGCTAGCTGGTCATGGAGCGCCAACCAGAATGCAGCCCTCCTGAAGAACTAGTTTCATTCACTTCCAAATGGAATCCAACAGGATGCCCTCTGAAACTTCCAAAGAATCTAGCTGCCTTCCAGCAAAATCCCCACTACTTTGAAAAAATAAATCAAGACCAAAAATATTCTAATCATGATAAATATTTGAGATCTAGTTGGGTTTGTGTGCACGTGCTTTAAGAAAAAGCAAGATGCAACAGAATAGAAATCATTTGGTTGGAACCAGCAGGGAAAATCAGCAAAATGGAAGAAGGCATCTTTTTGAAGGTAGTTACGCAAATACATTATTTAACATCCTGTGACTTGTATATCATGCCATATTATTTTCATTTAAAGCAGTTAGCCAATGAAAATAACAAACTAAGGCTTGTTGACCTGGCCAAATACATTAATAACCTACACAGGAAAAAAAAAATCAGGATTTCAGTTTTCCCAACATTCCCCTCCAGCTTGTTTTCAGAAATTTAGGCCAAAGACCCTGGCACATAATCCCAGCCTGATGAAATCAGTTCCCAAGAGGACTGAAACATCCATCCAGAACAGACAGGGCCTTGGTTCTAAGATCTGGGGCGAGCCTGCACTCAGGGCATTTTGAGATAATGCTACCCAAACTAGGATTCTCTATCTTTAGATGAGACAACCCATGGAAGGTTCTGAATGAATCAATCGGCTTAATTGGCCCCAAGTGGCAGCTGGAAATGGAAATAAAACATTTAAAATTCCAATTACCCTTCAGGGAGAGTGCTAAAATAAAATTATTTTCTTTGTCCCAAAGAATTTGAGGTACAAAAAAATCCAGTGGAAGACTTTAGGGAATTGTGGGATAAAAAAATCATATTGGCACATCATAGATCATAGGCCAAATGCCAAACAATTCAGCCATCTTAATCTCCTGGGATTTTAAACAGAGTCCACTTGTCTTGATGCAATATTGAATAGGGTCCTGCAACAATCACATTCGCAGGCTGGGAAAACCAGGCACCAAGATGGCACTAAATGAACTTCTAGAGAGCACTTGCTATCTGGCAAAGCATTTCCTCATTCAAGGGTATGTCCAAGCCATCTGTGAGATCATTATCTTTCACATGAAAAATTAAGGGCACTGAAATTCCCTTGGTATGCTATTCAAGGCCACCTTCTTATGCTAACCTAACCATATTTCCCTCTAGTACACAGGTTCTTAACCTAATGCCCACGGAGAGATAACAAGGAGTCTGTAAACTTGAATGAGAAAGAAAAAATTGTGTGTTGTGTGTGTGTTGGAGGGGGTTTCTAATCTTATATATTTTATTTTATGCATTTAAAAACATTATTTTGATCAGGAGTCCAAAGGCTTTAACTGCCAAAGGGGTCAATGACATTAAAAGAAAAAATTTAAGAATCCAGTTGGTAAGCATAAGGAGAGGCCAACTGGAGATCCCTTGTTGTAGCATAATAAAACCCCTCTCCTCTAGCTAGGCCTGTCTCCTTTTCCTCATGGGTATGTTCGTTCCAAACTTGTACACTTTTCTAAAATATGAGAGATAGAGAACATCTATTAGATAGATATCTTAAACTCGATATTCCATAGACTTAAATATTAAACTCAACATTAAACTCATTATCTTTCCCCACAAACTCTCCCCTCTCCTTAGCTTCTCTATTACTATCAAAGGTACCACCATCCTCCCAGTGCCCCCAGGTCCACAACCTAAGGGTCATCCTGGCTGAACTCCTCAGTCTCTCTCTCTCTCACTCCTCCATATCCAATCTGTCACCAAGGCTGTCAGATTTTACTTTCAAAATACCTTCAATACATTCTCTTTTTAAATCTGACACTGCTACCACCATCTTGATATAGGTCCTGATCAACTCACACTTAGACTGTTGGTTGTCTGCCTGCCACAAGTTTCTCCACAAATCAACCAACATCATCTTCCCAAATTACAGGTCTAACCATGTCACACCTGCCTCCCCTTGCCCCACCCCCCAATAAATTCCAGTGGCTTCCTATCACCTCCAGGATCAAATATAAAAATCCTTATTTGGCATTCAAAGTTCTTAATAACTGCCAGCCTCATCTTTCCAGTATTCTTACATCTTATATACCCCACATACTCTGAGATCCTTTCAGCTGTTCCTCAGAACAAGACATTCTACTTTATTTTCCAAGTTTGAGAATTTTTGATGGCTGTTCCTCAGGCTTGGAATGCCCTCTTTACTCATCTCTACCTCCTGGCTTCTCTGACTTCTTTCAAGTCCCAGCTAAAATGCCATCTTGTATAGAAAGCCTTTCCCAATCCCTCTTAAGTCTAGTGCCTTCCCTCTGTCAATTATCTCCAATTTATTCTGTATATAACTTGTTTGTACATAGTTGTTTGCATGTTGTCCCTCCCATAGACTGTGAGCTCCCTAAAGCAGGCTCTGTCTTTTTACCTTTCTTTGTAGCCTCAGCACTTTGTTTACTAAATGACTTACTATATCTATGAGCCTATGAACAACCACTTGACTTCTGTGGGTCAAAAAAACAAGTAAATTAAAAATAAAAGATGATGACAATCATTTCCAATTCCTCCAAATGCTTGCTATGGGACTTTCTCCACCTTCCTTGTAAGGAGGAATTGACAGTTGAATTTTTCTTTTAAAGAAAAAGTTGTTCCTCAGTGAACAGAAAATGGACACAATGACTTGCATTGTACAATTAAGTTTAAGACAATCTCAATTTGTGATCGGAATCACCTGGATGGCCAAGACTGTCTACTTCACTTTGTGCACGTAGGCAAAGCTAGAACAAGATTCCACTGTAACATCTCAAGATGTCCATGGAGTAAACATACACATGCTATATTAATTGTTAACTCAGAGATGGTGCAAAGGGCTTTTGAGGGAGAAGTGAAAAGATATTTGGCCATGTAATATAACCAAACATGTTATGACCCTAAACTAAAGATTTGGGGAGTGGTAGTTGTTTTGTGTCCTATTTTGGAGATAGGAGTTATGAGGCAACCAAGCCCGTTTTATATGAAATTTCTCTAAGAATAAACTTTCACATGGACACTCACTCCTAAGGCATGTTGCCCTAGCCTACAATAAGGTTATTTTTCTCTTGTGCCATATTTATATTTGCGCTGTGTTCCCTCGCTGGGAAGCTCTACCCAAGTGATCTTTGCAACCTCTGACCAACATTGGTTCTTCAAACCAGAGAGCTGGATTTGAAGTCTGAGCCCAAAAGAAATTAGGAGAGCAGGGACATGGCAAGAAAACTCCTTCTTCCTTCCCATCCAACCTCAACTTCTATGTATTCACACTAAGGCTGTACCTGTATCTGCTAACCCATATGGTCTCTGTATCCAAGGACTGAGGAAAGAACAGATCATGGACAAAAAGAACATTTCTAGGTGTGTTAATAGGCTAGGCAAGGAACTCTTTCATATGTCTGTTCAATTCTATATTTTCACCCTATGCCCCTACTGCCAAGGCCTGTAGAAAGGTAAATCACGCTGGTGACCCATAGGGATGAAAGCAACAAAAAAGAATTTTGAAAGTTTCTTAAAGATAGAAGGTAGGAAAGACTGGGGCATAGAGGCATCATTTCCTAGATCTAAAAAGCCCCCTCCAGATATTCACCTTCCTTCTTTTGTGGGTAGAAATGGGTGAATATGGATACAGAATATTTTACACCCATTCAGTTGGCTAGCATGTTGGTTGTTTTAATTAACTATATATTTCCCTTTGTTAGTGAGAAAGGCTCACTGGGGAAAAGATATGAAAAGGAATATATTCAGAAATGACTGCTATGTTAAGGAGGTATCTAACGACCTAAACAGAGAAAAGGCCTTCATGCCCATTACTCAGAATCACAGACATCTTGAGTTGGAAGTGACCTTTAAGGTATTCTATTTCAAATCTTTACCTTTTACTCCTACATTGTGGTCAAATAATCCTATGGCCTCTGCATGAACAATTCCAATATAAAGGACAATCAGTCAACTAGCATTAAGTACCTACAATATGCCAGGCTGGGCAGCGCAGTGGATACAGAATTGGGCCTACGAGTCAGAAAGACTCATCTTCCTGAGTTCAAATATGGCTTAACATACTTACAAGCTGTGTAACCCTGGGCAAGTCACTTAACCCTGTTAGCCTCAGTTTCTTCATCTATAAAATGTGCTGGAGAAGAAAATGGCAAACCACTCCAATATCTCTGCCAAGAAAACCCAAATGGGATCACAAAGCATCAGACATGACCAAACACAATGTTCCAGGAACCGTGCTATGCACTGGGGTTACAAAGAAAGGCAAACAGTCCTTACCCAAGGACCTCACACTCTAAAGAGGGAGATGGTGTGCAATGACTGAGAACTTCCTATCTCACCAGGCAATCTGCTCTTGTTAAGCTCCCCCCCAAGGGCCATTACTACTTACATCTATTTTCTACACTAGCACTCCCGTTTTAACATCCAGGTGAGTGTGGTATAGTAGAAAGAATGTGAGATTTGGAGTCAGAATGGAAAATGTCAGAGTGGAGTCTAAATGCAAATCCTCCTTGTGCCACTTACTATCTGTGTGTCCTCAGGCAAAATCATTTCTTCCTGAGGCTGCTTTTTCATCTTTAAAATGAGAAGGCTGGACTAGATTAGTGTGTGCTGGTAAATGTTTAACAGCTAGATCTCCAGGGCAAAAATGTGTGCAGAGCATCCTTTTAAGTTTAAATTACATTGTTAACATTTTCTTCATCACTTCCTTAATTCTAGACAATCAACAAAATCATAAATCAAGCCCCAATTTCTATGTAGCATGTACCAATTCCCAAGGTGTAAAATGCTCACACTGAAATTTAACAAACAACAAGCCAATTAAAACTGGCCCA